AAAAACCCGGAATGATGTTGCTAAGATAAAAGGATTGGTGGTAAGCACTGAATCTATTTGAATACAGAAGTGAGACTAAACAACTAGAGTAAATATGGCTGCCAAAAGCTGTTAAACCCTGACCAAATAGGAGTAATATAAGCCACAAAAATTGGATGTTGGTGTACAGAGGGTGGGAGGAAGTATAATAATGTTAATTATTTCATTTTCTGAGCAAGTAGTCAATTGACACTATTAATCAATAAATATAGGCTATTCTGATTTCTTCTTGTTTATATAATTTCTTTGCCCATATTTTTGGGCTATTTCTCATATCTTTGCTGCCATTCCCCTTTACATCTTTTTTAAAAACCAATGTGCATTGAATATTAATCTACATAAACTGAATACTTAATAAATGTTGCTGAAGTAATTTTGCAGACTGCATGGGACTGTAAATTCTATGAGGATGGAGAATATGTTTTATTCATATTTGAATTCTCTCAGTACCTGGCATAGGGACTTGCATATTGTAGATCACTAGTAAATTTTTTGAAAATATGAATTAATTTGCTTTGTTTCATATACATTTTGTTGCTAGAATAATGGCTGGCTGGAAATATAAGGAAAATGAACCATAATTGGAGAATATGATACAGCCTGTCACCCACATCTGAGAGACCTATTATAAACGCTTCTGATGCCTCATTAAAGACATTCTATTGTTTTCAGAATGCATTTTCCCCCCAGTAAATAATCTCCGTTTGCTCTAATTTAATCATTCATACAGCTATAGGAATGATCATTTCCAAACACAGATCTGATCCTGTCACTTCTCTCCTTAAAAACCTCCCATGCTCTCCTACTGTCTGAAAAACAGAATCCAAATTCCTAAGCATGGCATTGAAGGTCCTATATGATCTGGCTTCAGTCCATCTCTTTCCAGCCAATTCACCTCACATGTCCATCCAGGGGTACTTGCAACTTTGGGAACATGCTATACACATTTGTGCTTCTATATCTTTGCTCATGCTGTTTCCTCTACTTAAAATGTCACTTCCCATCCCATATCCTTCTCTTCTCCTCCTGTCTGCAACCATCAGGACACTACTCCATTCCTTAGGACCCAACTCCATTGCTTTCTCTGTTAGGCTTTGCTGTCTCCCACGCGTAAATAATTGTACCATTTGTTGTTCTTCCACAGTAATTCGCTCATGCTCCATGTATCATATTATACCTAATTGTACATATATTGAACACACTTCTTGGTTTGTACATTTCCTTTTCCCATATTCTTTGGTCTGTGTCTTATGTATTCTAGAAAACTGTCACGGAGTATGTGCCTGACACATAGTAAATGCTAGATAAATGTTTGTAGTTTGGAATTTAAAAACCACATGCATTTCTTATATTTCCATATAAAAATAATTCTTTTAAGTAATGAGGGCTAAACTGAAAATCCTAAGGGTTGTTAGAAGGTAGAAAATCTGTCTCTTAAACTGTGGTTTTCTGTCCTGATAAAAGAGAAGCCTTCAGAGGTAGACTACTCTGGGAAAACTCTGTGAATTGTTTAGTTCCTCAAATTAAAGCAAGTTTACATGTATTACTCTTGGAAAACTATAAAGTGACCATTAAACTGAATGTAGATGCTTTAGGCTGAGAAGCAGTGCTCCATTTGGATATGTAAATCTTTGTGTGTAGAGCAGGAGCATGGCTTCCCCAGACATTGATGCAGAAGAGAACAGAACTGTTTCTTTCTGTTGATTTAGACCATGTATGTGTCAATATATTGTTGTTTCTGTAGAGATGTGGATATCCTTGTTTGAGCCCATGCCCTTAGAAGAACAGATGCTGAGATCTAAAGGATATAGGAAAGCAAAGACAGGCATGATCCTTACTGTTTCCTGGAGAAACAATTACACAAAGGTACTGAACTGGCTTTGGTGAGGTTCTACCTGTAAAGACTGAGGACCTACATGTAAAGACTGAATAACTCAGTCTTTGTGAGAAATGTGCTGCTGTTGGACTGTTATGTTCTAAGGTGATAACCCAGTTGGGTCAGAGATCAAGGTCACACCCCCGGGGATGTAGGGTGGGGTTTCCTCTGAAGGAGTAGATATTCCCATGGTTAGTCATCCTAGGGAGAAGCTGCACCTGGGACAGAAAATGGGAGTTTGAAAGTGGACCTTTAACTGGGTGAGGAGGGTTGTTTTCTTCTCTGAGCTTTACAGTGGTTGGGCTCGTATGCTCAAGACATGGTTAGGGGAACTCTTGATTGAGAGGGGGAGATGTATGGATCCAGACATATGGACCCAGGCTGGAAACTCAACAGTAAGGCAGGCCTGATCTAGTCCATAAGGGCTCTGAGAGTAGCGATATCATTCTTATGTTTGTGATGTCCTGGGGAAGAGAGGGCACTGCCCCTTCCTGCCAAATCCCAAGGCAATGCTGAAGATTGCATTGGCTGGAGAGAGCTCAGTGTTCCAGAACATCAGGGTATGGGACATCTGAAGCAGAGGCAGGAATAGTTCAGTTATTTTAGGAATATGTGGGTGACAGCACCTCTCCTGGGGACTCCTCCATAGTAGAGAAGGGAGAGGAATTCTAAAGGGGGCTGGCTGACATCCTGATAATTTGGAAGGTGGGAACTCAGAAGTATCGTACTTGGGGTTTTTTTGGGGGGGGATTTTATTTTAAATATGACCTCCTTTATAGTCAAAAACTTGAACGCTATGACACTCTGATTCTCAAGGACATATGAGGCCTTTTATTGAACAAATCCTTTCCATCTTGGGCATCCTGTTCAATAGACTTGAGAAAACCAAAGGTAAACAAAGTATTCCTCCATTTGATTTTATATGAACCCTTTCTTTTTAGTTCCCCTTAGGCCTCTGTTCTCAAGTCTTATTGTAGAGGCATACAAGAAACCAGAAACTGATAGATTCTTGCTTTTCTTCCATTATTTGTCCATCCTCTGTTTTCTTTATAAAGTGTTCTGTTTCAGAGAGTAAGGGAGAGTTTTAAGTTTTTTCTGGATATTATGCATAAGCATGGATGAGTATCTGACTGGTTTTTCAATGAGGAGAACATCTAAGCTGACATGATTTTCTTAGGCTGAGCAGGAAT